TTTTGGACACCCTATAGTTTCTTGAGCATATGAACAACTTTCAAGAAGGAACCATTTCTGTTTGAGCGACGGAAATTAAAGTGTTGAAGCTCCAAACATGACAGTCGGATTCTTGCAGATTTCGAAGCTGCTGTGATGTTTCGAAGATCTGGAAATATTTAACCATTAGTTCATTCTGAATTTTTGATATGTTATGAAAGAGACGATGAGGAACAACTTCAATGAAGAAAGCATGCCGATCTGAACAATAGAAAATGGAGTTTCGAAGCTCACAACAAATCTGACGGGTTGACAGAAAAATAATAACCAGTCATTCATCATACCTGGATTTCTGGAGTTATACTGCTCCGAGGGATCTCAAATTTGGATATGTTGTAGTTCACGAGCTGAGAAACAACTTCAATGAAGAAAGCATACCGATCTGAACAAGAGAAAATGGAGTTTCGAAGCTCACAACAAATCTGACGGGTTGACAGAAAAATAATAACCAGTCATTCATCATACCTGGATTTCTGGAGTTATACTGCTCCGAGGGATCTCAAATTTGGATATGTTGTAGTTCACAAGCTGAGGAACAACTTCGATGAAGAAAGTATGTTGATCTGAACAACAGAAAATGGAGTTTCGAAGCTCACAACAAGTCTGACGGATTAACAGAACATTGATGAACAGTTACTCATCATACTTGAATTTCTGAAGTTGTACTACTCCGATGGATCTCAAATTTGGATATGTTTTGTAGTTCACACAAGATAAGGAAAAAACTTTCATGAAGACGACTTTGCAATCTGAGCTATAGCGAAAGGTGTTATCTTGCATCCACTCAGGCTGATTAGTGGAAACGAAAAGCAATTCCACCAAAGAAAAGATGAAAAAGAGAGAAAAGCTACTAATTGCACTTGATCTTGTCTAGTCAATAGCATGCAGCATCAAAACACACAAAAGTTGGAAATATTTTTAGATAAAGCATATACGAATGTGTGTGACATCGAAACAAGGATTCGTTACTTTGACAAATTAGTAACACGCGAGACACCTCATTCGGCAACTCTCTTCGCCTGAAGACTTGGGGGACTCCCACCATATGCTACTGCACCTTGATACTCGGCAGTCTCACAACCACTCAGTGACTTGGATTTTTTCAAGTCTCCAACCGAGAAGTTTTCCTCACTCGGGAAATTAAGGGAACACTACCTCAAACTACATGCTTCACTCACAAAGCTTCAACAATACAGGTTTCAACAAAAGCAAAAATTCAAAGAACTTTATGAAGAAGGATTTGGTGTATTTAACACAATATGTTGAAATGAAGCAAAGCTTATTTATTAATATTTTCGATAAGCCACAAATATGTACATATACATGAGTCAAAATAAACAAACAAAAGGGAGCCTTCACAAAGGTTGCTTAGGGGAAGTCTCAGCAGTCGGTAGAGCCCCAGAAAGAGAAAGCACCGGAGGGTGGTTATCCGGAGCCTCAGTACTTGACAAAACCCCAGAAGGAGGAGGCATTGGAGGTTCATCATTTGAAGCTTCATTACCAGGTACAGCCCCAGAGGACGAAGGCAATAAATGCCTTTGGAACAAACCCACAAACCGCTGATGATCAAGTAAAACCTTACCATCAGATTCCTTCATCTGGTCAAGCTTCCTCTTCATGTTTGTAGCATAGTCATGGGCGAGCCGGTGCAACTGCTTATTCTCATGCTTGAGCCCTCTAATCTCCTGTTTGAGACTCATCACTTCAGCAGCCAATGATTCAACTTGGCGGGTTCTAGCAAATAGGCGTTAGGCCATATTAGACACAGAACCTGCACACTGAACACTAAGAGCCAGAGAGTCCTTAACAGCCAACTCATCAGACCGTTTGGAAAGTAGTCTATTATCTTTGGGAGTGAGAAGGTTCCTGGCTACCACTGCAGCGGTCATATCATTCTTCATCACAGAATCCCCAACGGTAAGAGGACCAGTAGGGGATATGAAGGATGGGCGCCATATGTTGTCTGGAGAAGGCGTGGCTGTCTCTTCTCCAAGGTTCAAGTCAAAACGACGGTCGGAGGGTCCAGACATTTTCAAATGTGTTGAAGAAGGAAGAGGTCAAACAAATCAAGATCTTAGAAGTGCAAGAAATGAGCTTCTACTGGTAGAGATTCAAGTGTGCTGTGGAACTTAATGTCAGCCTCTATAAAAATCTGCACTCGACGGAGCTTCAGAAATCGAAGAGGCGTTTGCTTTCTCAAAAGCTGGGCTGCTCAGAGACCACGAGGGCCGATCTCAGAAATCGAAGAGGCGTTTGCTTTCTCAAAAGCTGGGCTGCTCAGAGACCACGAGGGCCGATCTCAGAAATCGAAGAAGCACCTGCTTTTTCAGCCTCGTCAGCACCTGTCACATGCACAATCAGCTTTGCGGAAATTACGGGCACTCTGTCGAAGATTTCTGGTGAAGTAGAAAGCACGTGAATCTTACTGTTCAATCACCGCTCTCCATATGCACCATCAACTCCTCGGGTACCACATATAACTTTGTCAAAGATCTCTGACAAAGTTTAGGCACGAGAATTTCGAAGTTCCAGCTACCCTACTATTACCCATAAGGGTAAAGGAACAGCACCACTGCTTGACAACTGGAAAGTCCCTATGTGTGTCGACCTCCGTGTTTTGCGGCAAGACAGGTTGGCAAGAACGTCCAACCTTTACTCACATTCGAGAAAAGACTCCCAACATAATTACTTTCTCAAAAACCGGAGTAGCACCGCTTTCCGAATCTCGAGAGTCAGATCCTCGACGGGATTGCTTGTTCGAAAACCGAAGAGGCACAACTCTCAGAACTTCGAGAGCCAGATTTCCTTAGATAAAGCTTGTCTGTAATCTTCACACGTAATATCAGCTTTCCAGATACCACATACCACTTTTTCAAAGTGCTCTGACAAAATTAAAACACGTGAAGCTGGCAGCTCCCACTACATTGCTGTGACCAAGAAGGGTAAAGGAATAGCATTACTACTTGTTATTGGGAAATCCCTATATACATTGACCTCCCTCCTCAACGGACAGGCAAACCTGCAAAAATGCTCAACCCTTTTCTCGCGTTCGAAAAGGCACCCTCAACATAACCTCTCGAAATACTCAGCTTTATTTCCCCCCGATAATACCTCAGCAAATAAGCCACACCAAGAACAAGAGTATCTCATATCATCAGGGTCGAAAGCAAGAGTATCCCATATCATGCTTTCTCCCTGTCTTTGTCTTTGTCCTTGTCCACACCTGCAGGACAAGGAGAAAGAGAGCAGTCAGTCGGAACCTGAAATCAAACCTCCAATTTGGAACTGACTGCCTGGAGCCTTTGCCTGGTTGCTTACTTAGCATTGCTCTCGAGTACTCATCCTCAACTGCTGTCAAGGTCACGAATTCCACCGGCAAATACCTCATGACAGTTGATCAGATATTGGCTCTTTACACTGAAGCTGCCAAGCGTGGATGAGTCACTATGAAGGAATGTTCTGAAGGACCATTTAAATGCAAAGGTTGCACACCACTTCTGCCATGCAAAAGATTGAAGCAGAAGGTTCAACGGTGAGCTGAAACAGATCACTACAGCACGACACCTTTCCATACCACATTCATTATTCCGTCAACAGCAAAAGTATCCCATATCATCAAGGTCGAACGTACTCTAGATTTGATGGACTTGTTTTGACCCTCAAATTTTTGAATCGGCCTTATACTCTGAAGGGCACCAGAAAACCCTCCAGCACAGTTCAAGAATAAGCCTGTGGAAAGTTACTTCTTCAAAAGCAAAAGTATCTCATATCATCTCTTATCTGTTTGTACCATACTTGACCAATCCCGAAACTACCGAGCACCGGCCAACGCTATACTGTCAAGGACCCAGAAGAGTTCCCCTCCGACCAGGAGGCCAATCACTACTCGACACGTGTCAAGATTAGAAGCCAATCAGAGCGTAGCACGTGTCGACATCAAGAACCAATCATAACATGACACATGTCAATGTGACAAAGCTACAAGTTTTTCTATAAATAGGGGTCATTCCCCCACAATATGGCCTAATGCCATTTGTGTTAAATCATTCACAAGAACTCACTAAATTGAGAGCTTGATCCTTTGTACTTGTGTAAGCCCTTCACTACTAATAAGAACTCCTCTACTCCGTGGACGTAGCCAATCTGGCTGAACCACGTACATCCTGTGTTTGGTTCTCTGTCTCTATTTATTTACGTACTTATCCTCACTAGTGACCGAAGCAACCAAGCGAAGGTCACAAAACCTGACACTTTCTGTTGTACCAAAGTCTTCGCTGATTTTGTGCATCAACATAATGCATTCCCATCATCAAGGAGTAATTTTAGATTTTGTTCCATAGGAAAACTTGCAAGCCGTGATCCTAGAAAACCAACATCATTTAGGATATCCAACTAATACTTTCTTTGTGAAATGAAAATACCTTGTTTCGATCGTGCCACCTCAATCCCCAAAAAATATTTCAAATTACCAAGATCTTTGATATGAGATCCTAGTCCAATTTATTTAGGATATTTATCTAATTAATCCAAGATATTTATTTACACAAATATCTTGGAATATTCCATCAATAATACCACCTAGGGCCCACCCCTAAACCCTAGAGGGCCGGCCCACTTCCTCATCCTCTCCTATAAATACACTCTTCCACTTATCCATTCAACTTGTATGTTATGATTGAAGTCTCCATCCAATTCTTCGTTCTTTCGCGAAAATTGGATTGTTTACAAGAATTTAAGAGACAATTAGCGAAAAAAATTACTATTGAACTGAATTTACTAACGAATTATATCACGAGGTTTAAATTCCTAATATTTTTACCACGAGGACCGTTTGTATTCGATTAGACCAAGAAGTAATAGAAGCTTCTAATCTACTGGGCCTATCTTCAACGACCTCAGCCCGTTCATTACTAACCCAGACCATAACACAAATACAAATAGGTCCCTTGAAAAATAATACAAACAGGTCCTCCGCCACTCTCGCTCTCTCGCCAAACCTGCCGCAATGTCGTATTTTTGTCAATAAAATGGTCACTTGTCTCACACACGTTTTGAAATTCAATCTCTCTCTGTCGCTTTCTATCTCTTTCTCTCTCGTATGATTAGGGTTTGAAGAGAATCGAATAGAATCGATGGCTCCATCGTTGATCTGCAGCTTCGTGATGCGCAGGACGGTTATACTCGCAGAGTGCTCAAATCATCAGGATCAGGAGGATGTGGCTCGCCTGGCTCTGAATTTGCTCGAAACGCTCGACCGTTCGATGAGAAGGATCACTTACGAACGTGATGGTTACACCTTCAACTACCTGATTGATTGTGGCTACAGTAATATCTCTTTCTCTTCCGGTGTCTTTGTGTTTGATTTCCCTTAGCAGTACCACCGTAATCGCATTTTACATCTTTACCGTTGTACTTCAATAACCATGACACAATAAAATATTAATATTTTTTTATTTATAATTAATATTATATTATTTACTTTGTATAAATTAAGAGTAAATTGTAGCTATGGTCCTTGAACTTTAATCAAATTGGAGCAATGGTTCCTCAATTAAAAATTCATTACCATTGGTCCTTCAACTTATCAAAACGTGCAGCTATGGTCCCTCAACTAAAAATCCATTACATTTGGTCCCTCAACTTTAATTCAACTGGAGAAGTGGTCCCTTAATTTTAACTCAATTGTAGCAATGATCATTCCAACATAATTCGTTTTGACAAAATTTTTTACGTAGTTGATGAAAATGACCATAATTACACACTTTGATGAGTTGAGGGATCCTAATTATATAAATGGTTATTCCAACATAACATATTTTGACAAAATTTTGAAGAAATTGATGAAAATGACTATAGCTACACATTTTGATAAGTTGAGGGACCAATGGTAATGAATTTTTAGTTGAGGGACCATTGCTCCAATTTGATTAAAGTTCAAAGACCATTGCTACAATTTACTCATAAATTAATATTATATTATTAATTATATTAATATTATATCTTTCTCCTTCTTCATTCTTCTCAGCATATTTCCTTCTTCCTTCTTCTTTACAGATTTGGTTCTGCTTCCTCTTTCTGCCTTCTTCCTTATTTGTTTGTTTATTGGAAAACTTCTTCTTCAATTATACATCTTCTGCATCTTCTCCGATAACCATCTCCGAAGAAGTCACGATGCTGGTTTCGGGAAAGCACGACGCCGACTCCGGGAAAGCCCACGATGCCGACTTGGCCTTTAAAGACGACGGAGCTTCCAAGGACGATCGAGGTCGAGTGGCTGTAAGGTTGAGACGTAGAAATGCAGAAGAGATGATGGCTGACGTCGCCCTGCGTAACATAGCCTTCGGGCTCTCGGGCTGGCAACTCCTGCCTGGCCTCTCCCTCGGGCCCGCTCGGGCTCCATCGCCAGCACACGCTGGACCTCCCCACTCGGGCTCTCTGGCCCTGTTTGAGAGCCAGTCCATCGGGCAATAACACACGGTGGAACTACTCTTACGGTTCTGGTTTAGACGATAGTAAGACTTGTCTAAATTTCGCTGATTGAAATTCGTTATTCATGTTTTTGTTGGTTTTCGAATAAAAAGAAAAATTGTGAACTGTTTTTTTGGGGGTTCGGAACAAATTGGTATTTGTTTTACTGAATGTTGGCTTCGGAATAGACTATGTCATTTTAATTTGCTTTGTAGCGCTATGTATATAGCTGAACTAACTTCACTATTTCAATGGTGCAGCATACAGTGTAGTTGCAGATGAGGATATTGGTCGAGAAATTCCTCTTGCCTTCCTCAATCAAGTCAGGAAGGATTTTCTTGGCAAATATAGTGCACAATTTGTTAAAGCACTAATTGCAAATAGTCTGAGCAATGAATTAGGGTAGCTGTTTCTTTATCCCTTCACTTGTTAAATAGATTGCACCTTTCCTTTTCTATGAGGTGTCTAATGCCTTAACTTTGTAGCTCCAAACTGAAGGAGCATATGGAATATGTAGCTGCTAAAGTCTCAAAAGACGAACAAGTTGCGATGGAATATATTGAGAAGGTAAAGGGCATTCTCTCAGCTCTTTTGATTTTCATTTTATCTTTACTCTGCCAATCTATTTCATATGTTTAATATTGTTCTTGTCGCTTGAGAATAGAATCGAGGGTGGCACATGAGAAGAAAATCCAAAGCTTCATCATTGAGCTACAGCTTCGTGGCGCACGGGACGGTGGTTCTTGCAGATTGGTTGCAATTTGACCATACGGTCAGTGGCTTGGCTGTGGATTATCTCTCTGAGCTCCCCTGTTCGATAAATAAGATCAACTACGACCGTGGTGGCTGCACGATCAACTACCTGCTTGATAGCAACTTCAGTAATATCTCTCTCTCATGTATTTGTGTTCGATTTCTACTTTTCAGTCGATAAGGTTGTGCTCATGTATTTGATTTCCTTTTTACTTCATTTAAATTGTTTCAATGTATGGTTGTTGAATCATTTGGTTCTTGCAGTCAACAGGCTTAAGAGTATTGTTCCTTTTTTTATGACCATCGTATAAGATCGGTCTGCACTTCTATTAATTTGATTTTGTTTCTCTCGTCTCTTTCCTTTGTGGCCCTCTTTTGGTTTATCAACATATATGATCAGAATCTCATTGGTTATTGCTAGTAGCTTTCTTGATAGCCAAGCTTGTCTAGTCGCACATGTCTGTTTACTTTACCATGCATGTATGCATATAGCTGAACTAACTACACCAATTGGGTGCTGCAGCATACTGTGTAGTTGCAGCTAAGGCTATGGGTCGAAAAATTCCCCTTGCCTTCCTCGATCAAATCAAGAAGGATTTTACTGCCAGATTTGGTGGAGGATTAGCTGTAGCAACAGTTGAAAATAGTCTGAACAAAGATTTCAGGTAGCTGTTGCGTTTTCTTTTCTTTCATTAGATGGATCGTGCCTTCCTTTTCTATGAAGCGTTGTAATTCCTCGACTTTGGTTGCGATATTATAGGTCCAAACTGAAGGAGCGTATGAGACATGCTGAGGTGAAAGCTGCTCAAGCCTCAAAAGATGAAGGAGTAACGATGGAAAATATTGAAAAGGTAAGGGCATGGTGTGGCCTCTATTGATTTTATCTTTATATTTACTCCATTTGGCATCTATTTCATGCGGTCAATATTGGCCTTGTCTTTGGTTTGTGTTTCAGTGAATAATTCTCAACATGTCTATGTGTTGCCTTTTGTAGCTTGTTTGTAAATGGTAATCACATTTGGAGATCTTGCATTTCTTATTGATCATTGTAGGACGAGGAGGAGGACGATGACGATGACGATGACAAGGAGGAAGATGACGATGACTCTGATGAGGAGGACGAGTATTAATGAGAAGCAAATATGGGATACAAGAAATGAGACCTGCACTGTACTTTTATGACATTTTGTATACGGTCTTATTTGACTTGCCTAGGTAGTCAAGTGGATTTGGGAATATTGAAATGCTGCATGTGTTTATAGTTTCAATGATTTGATTTCAAATTACTATTAAGTAAAATTCAGTGGCGTTCTCGGATGGATACTGACTTCACTTGGTGGGATAAGGCTTGGTGGTGGTTGTTGATGTTGTAAATTATTAACAAGTAAAAACTCCAAAGAGTGAGAAGCGATAATCACCAACAAAGAGGCTAAAAAAGAACAATGACACGTAGGAAAAAGAACCCCCGGCATGTAGGCCCTAAACAAAGGGGCTCAAGAAGCATGAGTACGAAGGGGTGAGTGTTTGAGTGGGTATATCGACCAACCAAACTGAATTTGGTTGGGCTGGATTGGGTTGTAAATTTTATCCATTTATTTTTGGGTTAAAATCTAGGGAACTTTAACGAAAAGCACCCGGTACTGTTCACTTTAACGAAAAACCACATTTTTACACTAAAAAGTCAATCCTGGTACTATTCACTTTACCCTTTATTTTATCCTTATCATTAAAACTCAAAGTTTTCAAGCCCTTTTCATTAGTTTTCCTTAAAATCTAACGATCCGTTCACTCGGTGAGTTGGGTTGAGTTGAAGTATTATTAACCAGATTGAAACCGATACACTTGCATATACATGAATAGGATTTTTCTAATATTTTCTTAATCTTGAGACCGAAATATGATTTTTCCGACAAGCACATACCATACACACTACATGCACAAAAAATACGACAGAAATAATTTTTTTCTAAAACTTGAAATGACCAAATTTGCCCTCTCATGCAAATGGGTTATTGCGAACGGCCCAGTCAACATTTTCTCCTCCCTTGTCCGAAAACCTCTCTCGCGACCCTTACTCGACGAACTCAAACCCCCAACGACGTTGTATATCAATTGGGGGTTTGTTGGTGGGCGATGAGAAGTCGGCGTCTTCGATCGTAATGGCGAGTAGAGACAGAGAACCGCGAGATCGTGAGCTTCTCATTCCGGTGGCGGACTCCGGCGGCGAAGATGCATCGTCCAAGCCCTCCTCGTCTTCCTCCTTCTCCCACCACACTAGCCTCTTTCTGTTTCAAATTTCATTGCTTTGTGTGTTGTGTTTGGTTGCTGGGAAATTGGAGGATTCGAGGGAAAAGGTAAAATTTTGCAGGAGAAGATGGCATCCAATTGCTGCCATGACTTCAAACAGATTGGAACTTGATGCTCTGCCTATACAGATTCCGTAAGATTTGTGGTTGAATTTTATGATTGGTATTATATTTGCACAATATGTTTCATATCGTGTCATTAAGGAAGAATACAGTGACCTAACATATGGTTATGAAAATATTCGATAGTTTTCAGAACTTAATCCATGTAAACTTTGTTTGAAATACTTCTAGCCGGGTACAATAAAAATGAAGTAAATAAAAAAAATGAAGTAAATAAAAATGAAGTAGAAGAGCCCAGATTCCAAATGAATGAAAACGTGACTGAATTGGTCCTAGTTACTCTTCGAAACAGAGTGGAAGAAGGGAAGAAAAGGATCCAATGAAACATGATATGAAATGGGTTCAATGAAACAAGCAAAAACATAAATAAAATTTCTAAAATAGTAAAACTAAAACAAGCGGTACAATATGTGACTCGCCCAAGACAATATTTTAGGATGTGCATCTCGTTGGACAACTACTATGTTGTTTCCCAATGTGTATCCACGTAATGGAATAAATGAATTGTTTTCTCTTTGATCTTTGAACATTAAAGAGGGTAGAGTATGAAGCCCTTCTATCAGGTCTTCAATTGGCGAAAGACCTAGCAGTGAAAAAGCTCGCGATCTATTCTGATTCCCAACTAATCACCAACTAAACCTCAGGGGAGTACGCAGCAAAGCATCCTAGGATGGCTCGAAATCTAGAGAAGGTACGAGAGCAGCTAGCGACGTTCCAGGCATACACACTCACTTAGGTTCCACGAGCAAAAAATGCATACGCTAACGCACTAGCAAGCTTAGGCTCCGCACTGAACCATCAACTCAGGCACTCAATTCCAGTCTAGTACTTGGAAAGGCCAAGCATAGATGAGAAACCAGCAGTCAAAATGGCACAGATCAACATAACCCCGAGTTGGTAAGATCCCATCATCGACTACATAGTCAATGGAATGCTCCCCACAGACAGACTGGAGTCCAGGAAGTTCCAGATGAAGGCAACACGCTACTACATGTGGAACGGCATACTCGTTTGAAGATCCTTCTCAAAACCACATCTCCGCTGCTTATCACCTTTTGATGACCTGGAAATTCTTAGCTTAATCCACAAAGACGTCTGTGGAAACCATTTTGAAGGCCGCTCCCTGGAGCAAAAAGCTCTCAATGCAGGCTATTACTAGCCAACCATGCATCAAGATGACAAGGAGTATGTATAAATGTGTAACAGCTGCTGGCGCTTCAAGCCCGTGCCCAAATTATCTGCCAATGAACTCCACCCCCAGACGGACATATAACACTTCATATGGAAGAACATCATCTGCCGCTTTGGCATTCCACACTTCATCATCACCGACAATGGTCAGTATTTCATGGGCAAAGACTTGGCGAAGTTCTTCGAAAAATAGGGCATCAAGCAGCACATGTTCACGTCCGGTATCCGCAGGGCAACGGGTAGGCCGAGGCGTCTAACAAGACCATCCTCAACTACCTTAAAATGACCCTCTCCGACAAGAAGGGCAAGTGGCCAGACGAGCTCTCCGGTGTTCTATGGGCATATCGCACCACCAAAAGACGAACAACCGGTGAAACTCCATTCTCCCTGGCGTATGGTTCTAAGGCGATCATTCATCCCAACGTTATAGTGCCAAGCTTCAGCACTGTCCTGCCGAACCTCGAGCAGAATGAAAAGGAGATGGCTACCAACTTAGACTTGGCAGAGGAAGAGTGCAAGAAAGTTATCACCCGTATTGCGGCCTATCAGCAGCAGTTCCTCTCCAACTACAACAAGAGGGTAAAAATTCGGAAGTTCCAACCAGGAGACTTAGTCCTCAGAAAAGCCTAAAAAAGATGGCTCACATCTGGGAAGGTCCGTACAAAATTAGCTGAGTAGGCGGAAGGGGCAGCTACACCCTCACCACTATGAGTGACAAAGAAATCGATCATTATGAGTGACAAAGAAATCGACAAACTGCGGAATGCCTACAACCTGATGAAGTACTACGTGTGACCTCCCACCGTTTCTTGAACCCCGTTCAAGACAAAAAGTTCGAAAACTCAAGCAGCTCGACGAACAAGACCTCTTATGCCGAGAATTATCAGTTGTTATGTCATTACTGCCTACAAGCAAAGTTAATAAAAGTCTCTATTTTCAATGAAGATTGAAGGAATCATTCACGAGTCTGGGCCAAATGTATAGACAAACTGACTAACCCTATAACAAGCAGAAGACGCCCGCTGCCAAGCAGACATGGCGTAAGCTCTCCAGCGTGAAAGGGTAAACTAATTCCCCAACACCCACATGGGTAAAGCTCTCCAGTACGAGAGGGTAAACTAATTCCTCGACACCCATCTAGGGTATGCTCTCCAGTGCGAGAGGGTACATTACTCCAGAATATCCAGACGTGGATAGGTTGTACGACTGCTCAGTTCCCCTTAAATGCAGCAACTACCTGGGCCGCATGACTTTCATAATTGGCCACGGTAGTCATTCCCATGGATAGACTTAGCCAACTGAATAGTTCAATTCTACGGGATCCCATGTCTTAAACCGGAAGAGATACCAATTGTAAAACCCTGCCCATGAAAGAATTCACGTGACAAGATGGTCCGTCCTCGATGTGCAAATCTTCATGAAGTGGCTTGATTTTAAAGTGTTGTAATACTAGTTAAGCAACCTGTGGAATCAAAGTTATGACTCGGAATGATATATCTGAAGTGGTTACGCAGGTCATCTGCTTCTGTAAGTAAGACGCTTGTTCGACGACCTAACAGTTAAAAGCCCAAAGTAATCTGTAAGCTGAGACTTACACCTGCTATGACTACGCAGACTCGCCTACTTACTTACAAGCAGCGCTTCTGGCTGACGGTCTATGGTTTAAGTTTTGCTGAAACAATGTCGAGGTATGACTATAGTAGATATGCAGACCTTCTCTGTTTCCTACGAGAAGCATGAGTTCCACCGACGACTCTATAAGCTAAACACTTTGCAACACGCCCCGGGAGGGCTAAGGCTCAAGAAGCCACTCCAAAGTCGAAGTACGACTATAGTGGATATATAGACCTCTTCTGCTTCCTACAAGAAGCATGAGTCTCATCGATGACTCTATAAGTTAAACACTTCGTAGGGCCAAGGCTCAAGAAGCCATTCTAAAGCCGAGGTACGACTATAATGGATATGCAGACCTCATCGGCTTCATACGGAAAACATGAGTCTGGCCGACGACTCTATAAGTTAAACACTTCACTCCACGCCCTGGGAGGGCAAAAGCTCAAAAAGCACACAAAAACTGAAATACAACCATAAAGGCTACGCGAACTCCTCTGCTTCCCACGAGAAGCACGAGTTCAACCGCTGACCCTATAGGTTAAACATTTCGCAAATACACCCCGGGATGGCTAAAGGTTCATGAAGCCATTTAAAGCCGAGATTCACAACTATAGTAGCTACAACTCTATAAGTTAGAAATCTTGCATTTTTCTTCTTGCAGGTAAAGCTCTATGAGCATCAAGCCAAAAATGAAGCCTAAAATGACCACGCAAGTCAACTGCTCCATCGAAGTAGACAACTCAACTGCTCGTCCTACGGTGAAATTTTGCAAGTTGCCTCCAACAGGTAAGGCTCCCGAAGCCTTGAAGCCGAAACTAAAACCTAAGTGACGACGTGGGATCAACTGCTTCGTTGAAGTAGCTCACCCAGTCGCCCGTCCTACTGTAAAGTTCTGCGAAAGACATGGCAAAATAAAAAAATGAAGCAAAACCGAGGAAAGTTGTTTATTAAATTTCTAGCAAATTGATAAACCGGCTCGAAGGCCAACAAAGTTTAAGCAAAGCATAACAGAAAAAAGAAAAGAAGAAAACTCCTAAGTCTAAGCAAAAAGACTACTTCTTGGCATCCTGAACAACCACTAATTCCTTGACTGCCACACCTTCAGCAGCCGTGCCATTCCTAACAGCTAAAGCTTCCATTAGCTCATCCTCAGCCATCCCTGCCTGGACTGCCTGACCCTCAGCTACTCCACCAAAGGCAGCTTCAAACAAGAAATCAAGCAGATCAACTGGAGAAATGAAAAAAAGTCTCGAAGTCCTTCTCGAAAAACTCATAATCCGATGGCTTGCCCTAAAGATGGTCTACATAGCCAAGCTTTTAGAAATCAGCCTGACAAGAAGCAAGCGCCAATTCATAACCAACTTTCTCATTCTTCAGCTGCACATTCTCTTCAACAAGCTTAGTATGAGCACTTTGCAGCTTATCCAGTTCCTTTTTCAGGTTCTCGCTGGCAGACAGCGCACCTCGCAAATCCATTTCCTTGGACTCAAGCTTATTGGCAACCTCCTTGAGACGAGACACTTCAGCATGCATAAAGATAAGCTCATCGTCCTTGGCAAAACAAGTAGATCGTAGCTCCGAATTGACACGCTTAAGGTCCATGACCACCAGAGAAACACAACTAACTTCCTTCTCTGCAGCTTCCAACATCGCCTGAGTCGCACTAAGCCTAGCATTCAAATGGGCGATCTTCTGATGAGCAATCTTTAGCTATAAAGAAGTGGGGGCAGAGACATCAAACCCCTTCAAAATGACGAGTTCAGATTTGAGCTTCTCAATCTTTTTAGCAGTCGAGCAAAGCTGAGCCACCAACATCACTTTGGCCTTCTTAGCACACTTGACAACATCTTGATCAACATGCATAGACTCAGCTGCCAGGATCAAAGTCTTATGCATTGTGGCAATCAAGGTGGACCTCCTCGAGTAAGCAGGACACTTAGCAAAGGAGTTTGAGCAGATGACAACTTTCCCAACACTGTCAACAAACTTGGCGCATGTATCAACATCCTCAAGTATGTCAGCCTTTAGCAGCGCACAAACCTCGGGAAACTCTCCAACCTCAGACTCGGTGGATCTCTCACAACTGCCCGTGCGAGCAGATTTCCTCTTTTCAGCATACAAGTCAGTCACGGTAGAAGGAAGAGCAGGCACAAACGCCACCTTAGCAACAGAATCCACCTTCCCGCTTTTCATAGCGGCGAGCCTCTTAGAAGTCGATCCAGACTTAGCTCCTAACGGACACTTCGACACAAACCTAGACACTGGATGCATCACCCAACCCTTCTGCTGGGCAAGTCTTTCAGCAATGGATGCGGTCACATTCGGAGCAGTAGGTTTCACAGGCTCAGGCTTAACAATCTTCTTCACCCTCTTGGGGGAAGTTAGATCAATAATAAGCCTTTCTGCAGTAGACAAGCTCCAAAGAGCAGTAGAAGAAGTCCTTGGCTTTTTCTCAGCCAAAGACTCACAAGCAGGTGAGGAAGACCTCTTCTTCCCACCATCATTGGCAGCATGCTTTACAACAGCGATCGGGCGAGCCAACGCCTCATCCTTTATCTGCTTTATCTTTTCCTTCGGAGGCAAGCCACATTTCTCCTGACGAAGAGGGCTGAGCAGCTAGCGCCACTCATGGTACTCAGCAGGAATGCCCAAGGCGACGTGCACTTTCTTCATATATGTCGAAGTCCTTGGAGTAGAGCCAAACTCCAAATCTACACAAAGTAAGAAAGGCAATCAATAAATTGAAGTCATGGAGCAGTTCAACAAAATTTCAAGCAGGACAAGAATGAAGTAGTTCACTTACCACTGATAAAGGTAGTCGGGACACGCAACTCAGGAGAAGAGTCAGACTCCCACTCTCTGCTCACCTCTAAAGTATCTATCGCCCACTCATGGTCACATTTGCTAGAAGCATCGAACATCCTATGGCGAGATCTCAGCTGCCCCACACTTTCTTTGTAGCCGATCTCAAAGAAGTACCAAAACTCATTTATGGTCAAGCCAAGATCAAAGAACCTACTCAAGTTCGAGAACCCCACCATTGCACGAATTGTATTTGGGGAACACTGAGCAAGCGTGCATTTCATGGAGCAGATCACCTCCTAGAAAAGTCACGACATGGGAAAAGTAAATCCTAACACGCAGTTTAGGAGAAGAGTCAGACTCCCACTCTCCTTCCCTCCTCCAATTTCTAGTGGGCCTGAGTCCAGCATTGTGTCACTTGGCCCACGCCAGCCGCGCGCTGAGCCCAACTCGCACCGCCAGCACCTCGGCCAAGCCGAGCAGACCCGTGCCGCACCACTAAGCAGCCTCGTGGCTCCTTGTCGTGTGTCACCCACACCCACAGCCCCTGTTAGAATTAAATAGGTAATGGGGGAAATTATTTTCCTTTTCCAAGAAGAAGTCTATCTCCAAATCAAGAAAGAAGATCAAGTTCAAATTGGGAAACAATTCTACAAACCCAAGCAGCTTGAGATTTCTACACCTACTGCCATTTTCATGCATGCAGCCCAATAGGTGTGGGGGCATTTGTGGAGCCTAAAATAATCTCAAATATTCTAGAGATGACACGTGGACTTTTATTTAAGAAGGACAAAATTACCCTCAATAAATGGACATGTTTCTCAGATGCTCCCACACGCAGCTCACATCTTTGGAGGGCTCAACAGCAAAATACAATTGTCCACAGCTCACTTGTCCTTGGCAAGGAATTAAAGATAAGGATTAAATACCCAAATCCTATCTTTAATACATTCCTAATTGAAGATTGACTCCAATCAAGTAAGTAATCCTAATTTAAAGAAATTAGGGATAATTACACCATTATCTCAAGATATTATTTCCTATTTAATATCTTGGGAATATTTAGAGAATATCTCTCCATTAAACACTATATGGCTGACTCTAGCCCTATAAATACCCCATATTCTACCAATTTCGGAGAGCTTTTGGCAACCTTAAAAAAAGTCTTAATCACTTTACTTTCTCAAAGAAACTAACTTAGGCATCGGAGATCCGTTGACCTAACCCATCCCCCATCTCGTAGATGCATGAGGCTTAGGTTTTTTATCAAAGGTGTTGATTGTTTTGCAGGTGCATTTTCGTCAAGACTAAAGACAGCGAAAATTTGCATTGGTAATATGTATACACATGTGTGTGTAATTTGATTCAAGCAACATAATCATAAACATCATTATATCCATTTCTTTCTGGATTGCACGAGTACCCATGATATGTATTCATCACATCCAAGAAAATAAATAGAAAAAAGAGCAGTGCAACTGATATGAGTATGAGAGAGTTAACTGGGAATGAAAGTAGACCTTTGTACTTAATGAAGCTTTCAATGATTGGGCTTTGTCACGTAAAGAAAGTGTTTCATAAGCTGTTTCCTTCCACCGCTTCAACTGAGTTTCCACCATTCCCATTTCTTTACACAAAGATGAGGCCATCACACGAAACTCTGCTATAATGTCCTTTCTTCCTGCAACAAAGAGCATTTTCAGTGCCACAAGCTTGGGCAAATTAACAGTTAATATCAACAAAATATCAAACTTATAACACTTTTACCTGAATCCTGGACAGCTTATTCCACGTTTATCTCAAAGTCATTTTTTGCAATTACACACTTCTGCAGCTGAAGTTCTAGTTCTTCAATCCTAGAATCATAATTGTCAATGGCATTCCTAACTGCATATGCTGACTCTAATTTGTATTTAGGTCCTTCTCCCTTCTCACAACAAGAGCCCTATTAGCCTGAAATTAAACTTTCAAAACATAAAAAATATAGGGCAAGCATTCCAAACATCTGCACATAAACCAAGCATTCTAAGCTGTAAATAATCAGTCAATGCTTTGTATTGGTCCAATTCTGCATTCCAATGTTGGAATTGATCATTTAGAAAGTACATATTTGTCATCCTTCACTTCATCCTGGGACAACATATAGCTTCTTTTATCAAAGAAGTAAACAGACAATGAAATCTTTGAAAATATGAATAACAACTATCAAAACTTGAATAAAATTAAAAACCTAAAATTCTTGCAATTGTTTTGACAGCGGTAAATTTTCTTCATGTGTGTCTTGATACTTAGAAAGGCGGTCGGGTTCTAGTATCTGTAACAAATGCTCAAACACATCAAGATGAATGTGAGAGAGAGAGAGAGAGAGAGAGAGAGAGAGAGAGAGAGAGAGAGAGAGAGAAGAGAAAGGAAGACAGTGCAACGGAGGACAGGGTTCCATTAAGTGCACTAGAAATATGGTTCTGCACCCTAGGTCCAACATTCTTTCGCATTTTCGGATTAATTAGTCTCATTCTTTTCAACTCTAGGTCAGCCATTTTGTCATCCAGCTCACCTCACGCATAACAAAAAATTTACGCATTCAACAGACACTCAAAAGGCAGCATACCAAAATTTGGTAAAATTTGATACTTTGCTCTGTCACAAATTGAACATAGATCCTAAAATATATAGGTATCAAATATTATGAAGTTTTACCCAAAAACAAAACCCAAAAAAAAAAAAAAATTGATGATGCATCTCTACATGTGCTGCCATGAGCTTTACTTCAAGTGACATGTGCATAAAAAATAGAGGCTTGTTGTAATAACAATCTCATAAACTTGTGATGCGCCTAATTTCAGACTGATCTCTTGAATGGCTGTTGAGGTAAGTCCGAATTACATCAGCATACTCTTTATACTTCAGATGAAGAAAATCAATCTCTTCGCATAAATTTTTAACCTCCCTTTCCATCATATCATCAATTTTAGAAAACTGGATGATAGCATCTGAGAATCACAAGAAAGAAAAGACAATCTATATTCAACATATACCATAGTGCACATCCAATATATATAGATATATATATATATATTCTGGGAAACTGTGTGGCACAGCCGCTGCACCATCATTGTGGCACCGTCGTTGTCCTCCGCGCTGGCTTGCAGCCTAACCTCGTCAAGCATGCCATCAAGATGACGTCGTTTCGACGTCAAGACTATGGCAGCAGCCCTTTGGCCTTTGCTGCGCCTATACGGACACACCAGGTCTTCGGCCTGGCTAGTTTACCCAGGCATGAAGCCCAGCCCATCTCCTCAGAAAGCATGTAGCCTTTCTTGGACTTGTCTATGTGTTCCCGGCCTAACTGCCAGCAACCTTGTGCTGTTGTGCTTTGTCATGTGCCTTAGGCCTGACTGCAGAAAGCCCATGCCGCTTGCTGGGCTTTGACCTCGCATCAGCCCACTTGCCCACAGCTTTTGCTACTAGGCTTGGCTTGCCTCAACCTAAACTAAGCTTCGGCTAGGCTCCCTAGACTAACTTACGGCCAACTTATTGTCCAATTTCTTAGCCCAATACCAACAACCTTGGTTGCTGAGCTCCCCAGACCACATGGCCCGAGTCCTGTAGCCCTCTTGTGACCTAATAAGCCTGTAGCCAAATCTGCAGGGCCCACTCGCAGGTTAATTTTTAGACCCAAAGCCAATTTTTTGGCATCCCTGCGTTATAAATCATGCCCAAAATATTTTTTGGGGTGCTTTGATTTGCGCTAATTAATTATAATTCAATTATCACTTGGTTTATCACCAACTGAAGTTAATATGACCCATTTGTCATTATTTTGCTTACACAATCGACCCCGTTTTGTCTCAATCTATTAAATTAATTAAAAGTGACTTGTAGTCCATTAATCTGATAATTAATCTAAAATTATTAATCTGAATATCACTTTTGGACATTAGCGATTCAATAATTTATTTTTATCCTTTGAACTGTTGACATCCTTTCGTAGTCACAAAGATCTCACACTTGAGTTCTCGAAGCAACTCAAATCTACTACACTTAAATCAGCATAGTGCATTATGTGTTCTTGTAGGAACCTTTCCTTTATGAACTAATCATTCATCAAACTAAATTGAACTTGTCGTTTCATATTTAGTGCCTTTGAAACCTGAAGTTTTCATTCAAAACTTACCGTATTAAACTTGTAGCTTTCATGCTTAAATTAAACCAATACATGTCTATAGAACCCGAATGTTCTACGATGTATGTCTATGGATTACCATATGACTAACCACATTTTTGTTGTACCCTCTGTTTTGGGGATATGTCGAACTTAAACAAGCTCGATTTCAACATTTTGGAAGTATCTAGAAGAAACTACCTAAAGTGGGTTCAAGACGTCAAACTCCATCTTACTACAAACGGTATTAGTGCCATTATGGAGGCATGTACCGACGACAAACATGTCGACGAAGCTCAGAAAGCTACTACAATGATCTTCATTCGAAGACACATCCATGATGCTCTGCAGACCGAGTACCTCGCTGAGGATGACCCACACACCCTTTGGCTTGCTCTGGCCGACCGTTTCGATCACCAGAAAGACATCTACTTGCATGAAGCAAGACACAACTAGCATCATATTCGCTTTCAAAACTATAAGTCTATGAATGAATCCAACTCTAAAGTTTGTAGAATCCGTTCACTACTTAAGTTATGTATTGTGGAACTAATTGAATCAAATATCTTGAAGAAGACCTATGCGATATTCCATTCCACCAATATTATCCTGCAGCAACAATATAGGGCATAGAAATTCTCTAATTTTTGAATTTGATCTCTGTTTTACTTCTCTCTGAAAACAGAACCAGCTTTTGATGAAGATTCATCAAGCTCGACTTACTAGCTCGAACGCCGCACCTGAAACGCATGCAACTAATTTTAGTAGCCATAAACGACGCAAAAATCATCGTGGCCGTGACAATGGGTGGCAAGCCCAACCACGGTCCCAAGGTCCATAGAATCAAGGCCCACCCAAGGGAGGAAATTTAACCCAAAAGCGCCAACCCCTTGCCCCTAAGGCCCTAAACTTCAAGAACAAAGGAAAAGCTACCGTTCAATCGGCTTCCACTGAAATAATCATGTGATATCATTGTGGATCAAATGATCATTGGTCACTTGTATGCAGAGATACCCCCGAGGCTATTACCAAGTATCATTCCCATCATGAGTCTAACTTTGCGCATGTGGAAAATCCAGAATATGCTACTACATCCTTGGAGATATCAGATTTTAAGGAGACATCAACTCCTATAGACGAATAAAATTTAGACATTTTTTTAGGGTCTTTTACCCCTAGTGGCTGAAACAACTAGGAATGGCAGGACCCCCCCCCCTAATTTTTAGGTTTATGGTTTAATTTTTGGACAGTTTTTCTAAGTATTTGGAATAATTTGTTTGGTTTTGATTTGTTTTGAATCATGGATTGTTATTTTATAGATATTATTTCTTGAATTGATGAATTGAATGAATGAAATTATATTTATGCATGTGACAAATTCAATCAATTTATTTCTAGGTATATGTCTAGTAAGGAAGTTAGTTGTCTGGCTGATAATGCTACCAAGCACTCCATATTTCATGAGTGTCACTATTTTACTAACTTTTTACCTAAGAACGCAACTCTGACAACTCTCTCAGGCCTATCTAACTTGATTGAATGATACAGAAAGGCTCATATCATGTTGTCCAATGGTACTGTTTTAACCATTAAAGAGGCATTCTATTCTCCACATTCCGAAAAAACGTTGTTGAGTTTTAGAGATATTCAAGATAATCAACATCATATTGAAACCACTGAAGATAATAGTTCTGAATTTCTTTGTATCATGTTGTACGAATATGGCCAAAAGCGTATTCACGAGAAGTTAGAACGTGTCCCGAGTGGGTTGTACATCAAAACCATTCGCAGCATAGAAGCCCACCATGTGGCCTACCCTATACCTGAGTTCCAAAGCAGTTCGCTGCTTTGGCATGACAGTATGGGACATCTCGGACGTGACATGACTCGTCGTATCCTCAAATCATTACATAAGCATCATTTACATCCCTCCGTTGGATTCCCGCCATGCAAAGGGTGTTTTTTTGGGAAGTTGAATACTCAACCCTCAATTACAAAGATTATTCACAACCCTTATAAATTTCTTCAGAATATTCAAGGGGATATTTGTGGACCTATCTAACCAACATGTGGACCATTTAGATACTTTATGGTGTTGGTTGATGCGTCGACATGATGATCACATGTTTGCCTGTTGTCCACACGCAATGTTGCATTTGCGAAACTCTTAGCAAAAATTATTAAGCTAAGGGTTTACCACCTTGAGTATTCGATCAAGTCGATTTGACTGGATAACGCTGGAAAGTTTACGTTACAGACTTTTGACAATTATTGCATGTCATAAGGATTGATGTGGAACACCATATACCCTATGTTCACACCTAAAATGTCTGGCAGAAGCTTTCATAAAGCATCTTCAATTGATAGCTCGAACTTTAGTTATGCAAACCAAACTGCCGATATCTGCATGGGGCTATGCAATATTGCACACAACTATGCTGGTCCTCCCGAGGCCCACCGCTACCCAACCTTATTCACCGTTACAATTGGTTACTGGATACGAGCCTGACGTCTTGCATTTACGTGTGTTTAGGTGCACAGTTTATGTGCCAATAGCGCCACCACTACATACCAAAATGGGTCCTCAGAGAAAAATGGGAATCTATGTCGATTATGATTCGCCATCAATTCTTCGCTATTTAGAACCGTTGACAAGAAATCTCTTTACCGCACGTTTTATGAATTGTCACTTTGATGAGGCAATCTTCCCGTCATTAGGGGGAGATAAGCATGCTAACGTTCCTGGAGAACGCCATGAATTGTCGTGGTATGCTCCCACTATGTCTCATTTAG